GCAAACCCAATGATCGTCTTCACTCGTAGTTCTGAACACCCCAGGTCCACCCGCCCTATTCAACACCACCCCTCATCCAGAGGCTTTGATTCCTGGTCTCATCACGTCGGATTCCCCCGAGTCCCGCGGCCCCGACTACCCTTACCCCAGTCCCGCAGCTCGGGCCGGGGTCCGACGTGGCAGGCGGCGTGCGGAGCGGCCCCTTCCACTGGAGGTGGCGCGCTCAGTGGCCCGCAGGGTCGAGCGCTGCGGGTCGGATGGCGATCCTTGGTTGAGGAGACGAGAAGGCTGCCCCGGGCTCCCAGGAGGGCAAGGGAGGATTTTGGGTGCGCACAGTTGGGTGCAGGAGTTTTCTTATGAAACCGGCCTCTGGACTTGGAGAGTACGCCTGGATTTTGGGGGGCAGTCAGGGGTCTTCAGGTCCTCCGCCCGTCCCCCTGCACCTGTCGGGCCCCTCTTAGACGGTGGGAGGGACGAATTTACACGCCGGGAGCGGAGATGGAGGGATGAGAAGCAGCCTTCCCCGCTGCCTCTCGGTTTGGGGGGGCAGCGGCCGGGAGTGGGGTGACAGAACCTGACCTAGCTCTGGCGGACACTCTAATCCCGACAGGTCGGACAGGCACGTCCTTGGTCCCTTCCCCCGCCCAGCAATTCTGCCCCCACCCGGCAGCCCACTCTGCAGCCAAAACTCTCCACCCCGCAGCGAGTCTTGGGGAGGGCTAATGAGAAATGATGTGGATGGTTTACATTTTTGGGTCTGTGTCCGGCCCCAGACAGAATACCAATTTATCCTGATAGTGTTGCAGGCAAGAAGGTGAAAGGTATTCCAGCCCTCTAGAGGGACTGAGTCCCCGCCCGCAGTTCCACCTCCAGCTGCGTCCCCCTCCCTAGCTCTGATCCTCCCCTTCCAGGCCGCCTAGCGCGGGAGTCCTCCCTCAGTCTCCCGTCCAGGTTTGCCTCTGTCTCCAGCCCCTTCCTCACCTCCTTGAGTCTAGTCCCCAAACTGGGTCATGCCTCCTACCCGCCCCTCTCCCCCCACACACAGCTCCTTGCCCATTGCCTCACCTTCCAGATCCCCAGTCCTGAGTAAGCAAACTGGCAGGCCACTGAGTAGGTTGTAACCACAAGACCCTTAACCCCTCAGTGCCGGTAAAATGGGAAGAATTTTCCTTTCCTCCCTGAGGAGTAAATGAGGGCCTAGTACATTGCAGGTGGTGCAGGTTCATGATGAACGTGAATCCCTCGCTCCCACCCTGGCAGAGACCAAATGCCCTTCCTCTCCCCCTGAATGCCTGAGTCCTTGAGCACTGACAGCAGCTCCCATCACTGGCTCTGCCTGTGCGGAGTAATGGGCCTCAAAAAAAAAAAAAAAAAAACCCCAAACAACAAAACCCAAACTGCTTGATTTTTCAAGAGTGCCCTATAACCCAAGGGGCAAGGGGAATCAGAGAGAGGGACTGATGGAAAGGAGGCAGCTGCTTAGAAGAAAGCCATCAGCTGCTGTCTCCTCTCTCAGCCCTAGTCCGTGTGGTAGTGTGCGCGCGCGCGTGCTCTCACTGCAAGTTTGTGGGGCGTGGGGTGGCCAGGGACCCGTGGGGCTTGCTGTTGTTGCAGGGCTCCTAGTCTGAGACCTACCCGGCTACTAAAATCAGAGTTCACATAAATTTCTGAATTTTCAGTCTTTGAAAAAAACCAGAAGATCTGGCAAGACTGAGCCATTATTTCTGCCTATCAACAATCAACTGGAGTTGAACAGCATGTGCTTCCTTTATAAGGGGCATTTGCCTTTTGGTTTCCCCGTGTTGCGCGCGCGTACGCACACACACTCACATTCAGCTTCCTTCCTATTTGTTGCTTCCTTCCCATTTGTAACCCTGGTCTGATGAACTCTTATGTCCCTTTCACGTTTGAGGCCGTCTGTATGTTTTTTAAGTGCTTGAAACTCATCCCATCTAGTGATGGGTGACAGTGTCATTCGCTCCAGTGAAATTCAGATCTGGATCCTCCTCCCCATCCTCCTCCCCATTTTCCAGCTGAGATCCTGGTGTGATGGGGATTCAGGGCGGAATGGCCATATAAGATCCCCACTGGCCAGGACTGGGTGAGCGTGACAAGAGCTGGGCTGAAAGCTAAGACCTGGGAGGATGGGGTGAGGGGAGGGCTGGAGAATTCAGAGGAAAGTGGAGGATGGGAGAGGAAGGTAGCTAACTTTTGCTGGGCACTAACTGAAGTGCCGAGCTCTGTGCAAGGCAGACACGGGGAATGCAGAGATTCCTGGGAGACCTTTTCTGCACCAAGGACCCCAGGAGTACTGATCCCCCAGTGAGAGCAAATAAAGGAAATCTCACAGACTCAGGATTTTTTAAAAATTGATTTTTAGAGAGTGAAGAAGAGGGGGGGAGAGAGAGAGAGAGAAAGAGAGAGGAACACCAACTTGTTCCGCTTAATCATGCATTCGTTGGTTGATTCTCTTTTTTCTGGTATGTTGTCTTTTTAACTTTTTATTATTTATTTATTTCTTTTTCGAGGGCAAGGAAAGGAGGGAGAGAGGGAGAGAAACATCAATGTGTGGTTGCCTCTCATGCACCCCCCACTGGGGACCTGGCCTGCAACCCAGGCACGTGCTCTGACTGGGAATGGAACCGGTGACCCTCTGTTCACAGGCCAGCCCTCAATCCACTGAGCCACACCAGCCAGGGCCATTGATCGATTCTTGTCTGTGCCTTGACCTGAGACGGAACCCACAGCCTTGGCATATTGGGACAGCACTTTAACCAACTGAACTACCTGGCCAGGGCCTCATGGACCCAAGATTTAATACCAGGTGTGTCTGCTGTGGTCTTCTCCAGGGTCTGTATCTGCCTGGGGTCCTCAGACCTCACTTTGAGAAATGCTGCAATTAAAGCTTAACTTTGAGCGACCACTTTGGGGCCAAGGTGATCAATGATAGAGATAAATGCAAATATGGAAATTATATAACAGTGCTCAGTGTTAAGATACACATCTAGAGGATATGAAAACTCTTTATATAGCTTCTTAGATGGCCATTGGAATGCAGACACAAAGTGAAGTCTTGGTCATAGAAAATACAACAAATATTACGAAGTTCTCACTGTGTTCTGGGCTACATTCTAAGCAGTTTCATATATCAACTCATTTAAGCCATAAAAACCAATACCCCTCTTGCAGATTAGGAAACTGAGGCTCAGACTAGCTCAGCAACTAGCCCAAGGTAACAGCTAATAAGGAGGAGAGTCAGTATTTGAAACCAGGCAGTCTGACTCTAAAGTTTATGCCCTTGACCATTACGCTCTATGGCCAACCTCTGAGACTACATACTTGGGGCTGAAGACCCCAGTTTGATAAACTGAAGGTGATGGAAATGTGTAGTGGGGGCTAGGGAAGGTAGGAAGGCTTTGCCAGGTCATACAAGGAGTACTAGAGGGGCAGGTGGGGGCTGGCAGCTGGCAGGGCATTGGGGGGTGGCGGGCCACAGCACCAGGTGGGATTCATCAGCCTTGTGTAAACACTTCTCACAGGCAGCTTAACCACTTGAGTGTGTCTGGCCTTCAAAGCTGGTGGGAGAGGCTGAGGAGGGAGGTGCTAAGCTCTCCTGTGGGATAATGATTTATCTCCCAGGCAGGTGGGGTCTCCCTGAGAGGCAAGCAGGGAGAGGATAGGGACAGGGGCTGGGAGGGACACTTCCACTCCAGCAATTCAGATTTCTCATTCGTAAGCCAAAACCTCAGCTAACTCTCAGAGCAAGTGAAATAGACATACCTATCCCCATTTTATAGATGAAGAGACTGAGGTCCGGAGAGGCTAAGTGACTTGTCCAAAGGCCTCTAACCAGTGGATGGGAGTGTGATGCTTCTCTGGCATCTACAAAGCTTCCTGAAGGCTCCCTGTTTCCTCCTGTCCATGAGTGGGTGTGGGTGGGTATGGGCAACGCGTGGGCCTACGTCTGCTGTGTGTTGGGAGAGTGTGTTCCTGTGAGTGCTCAGTGGAGTTTCGTTCTCTGACTGAGGTTGGGCTCCAACTTCCCAGACACATTTTGTAGGGGAGGGACCAGCTCCCCCTGCCCCCAACACCAGGCCAGCAGTCCAGAGACCTGGCTCTCACTGGGCTGGGGGATTATCCCCACTCTCTGTGTCCCTGACCAGGGCGGGCATAGCTGCCTCTTTTATCCTCTCACAAAGGCCAGACCCGCCGGGCCTGCTGTGTCAGAGTTTCTGTGGCCTGGGGAAGCCTTACTTCCTTTCCTTCTGCCAAGCCCAGAGGGCCATGCAGAGCCTGCCTGCTTGTCAGGGACCACTGCTCTAGTTCTGGGACAGGTGAAGGGTGCAGGGGTGACTCAGCACCGGGAAAAGAAAGCTGAGAGGTCACTCACAGAAGGACAGAGAGCTCCTCTTCAAGAGACATGATGTTACTGCAGCATGAGGTCTGTAGAGTAGACCTAAAGAAAGACTGTTAGTTAGAACTGGCCAGTTTTGGGCAGGGGGGAGCCAGCTGCTTCCCAGCAATCCAAAAGTTTAGTGTTGCGAGGATCCACCATATTCCAGCTGCTTGGGTAGCCAGCTCTCGTCCCAGGGAATTCTGCAAGATAGGAAAAGGAGCAGAATTCTCAGTCTCCTGGGTAGGAGACCACATAGGGATGTCGGACACATAGGTTGTGGACCCCCTGGTAGCCCAGAATTAACCCTTCTCTTTCCTCCCCTAACAGGTTGAATTTTGGAGGTGTCCCTGCTGAAGTGACAAGTTCTCCCATGTGACACTCCAAGTGTCTTTGAGGAAAGCTCTCTGGACCTCCCTATGGGCAGATGGAGAAGTGGGCTCCTCATACCCTCTCTGCCCCCAGCTGAGATTATGGTGGATTTGGGACACGGCCCAGACCTGGGCCTCCTGCTGCTGACCCAGCCTCAGAGGCGTTAACAAGACTCCTGCACCATCCATCGTCCCAGAGACCACCCCTCCTGCCAGGGGCCCGGAGCTGGCGAGTGACTATGCGGCTTGGGCTGTGTGTGGTGGCCCTGGTTCTGAGCTGGATGCATCTCACTGCTGGCAGCCGGGGGATCAAGGGGAAGAGGCAGAGGCGGAGTGAGTAATGAGTGGGGCTGATCATGGGGGGCCTCGGAGCCGTGCGCGTGTTAGAGGGGCCACCCGGGGACTCGTGGGCTTTTGGCGACTTCATTCTCCGATGACCATTGCTGATTTCTACTTGGGTAGATTACTCAACAGATGATCCTGTTTGTGGATTATCCAGTTTGTGGATTAATTTGTTGAAATTGCCCACTCTGTAGATTACTCCCTTGGTCTATATTCCCCTTTGTAAACTCTGCTTTCTAGATTTACCCCTCTCTTGTGAGGATCCAGTGTGCTGATTATGCCCTTTGACATAACACCAGCTGTGTGTGGTATCCATGGAGATGACCCGCCCAGTCCCCTACCCCAGGATGCTTGGTTCCCTCTGCCTTGAAAGTTCAGGGCCCTTCCTTTCAGTGGTGGCTGAAGTGTAGCCCTCCGCCGCTTTGGGTCAGGAACTCTGTCCAGCGTGGTGGTAGGCAACAGCTTTCCCTGCGCAGATCACAGGGCAGGCACGGCGCAGCTGGAAGATTGTGGGACTGTCCACTCCTGTGGCTGTTAACCCTGCCCAGTGGGAAGCAAGGAGTTGCATGGGGCAGGTGAAGGGGAGGCAAGTAGGCAGGGATTGGGTGCTGCCCCGCCTTCCCATCAGAGCAACTTTGCTCTTTCCTACTTTCTGTAAGATTCCGCATATCATTGGCAGAAAGGGTGCTCACAGCTTAAAATACAATAAATCCATTATTGTACAGATGGGGAGACTGAGGCCAAGATAGGGGAAGAGATGACAGGCTTAAGGACACACTGTCGGCATTGGAACCCGGGTCTCCTAATTCCTGTGAGCCAAGTCTTCGAGAAAACAGAGCTTGATAGAATTCAACTTGACTCTGTCCCCACTGCCGTCACTGTCCCTCCCAGGGTCCTGTTCTAGGCGTTCCCAAGAGCAGGTCCTCTAGCCTCTGCTTAATGTCTCCAGTGATGGGGGTTCTCTACCTGTCCGTTATGTTGCGGGAGTGGCCACTGCGCGTGAGAGACGAGCGTCAGGAGGTCAGGAGTGAGGTGGAGGCCTGTGTTACAGACCTGGGGCTCGACCCCAAGGCCTGTCTTTCAACATCCCCCAGCAGAGATGTCACGCCCAGGAGCAGCAGTTCCTCGGAGGCCTGGCGCGCCCGCTCCTTGCTTCCCTTTTGAGTCCTGCAGGCCGAGGCCACCAGGAAAGGTTGGAAGGCAGTGGAGTTTGGTTGGGTCTCCACAGGAGCGGCCAAGGGCAGAGCCCAGCCCAGAGACAGAAGCTCAGAGAACTGGCGAAGCTGAAAATCCCTGGCTTAACAAACAATTAGAGACGGTTAGGTTTAATCAGCAGCGAGGCCTTGACTTTCCTCCCTCCTCCCCTATCACAGCCAGGATTTTGGACTCCACGGGCCAGAGGCAGTTTAGCAGTGTTTAATGTCTCCTCTATTTCCGAGATGAGACAATGAGCAGGAGCGGCACCACTCACACTTGTGCGACGCGCGCTAGTGATCGTGCTGTCCCCGACGTGTGCAGAGGCGCACGCCCACCTAAACCAGGGGTCAGAAAACCTGTCGTTCTAAACTTTGTACTAAAAAAAAAAAGTACTGGCCTGGCCATCAGAAAGGGCCTGGCCCCAGCCATGACCAATTGAAAACAGCAATTGTGACACTTTTGATACAGCCACATCCCACAGCCTCAGCAGCGGTAACCCGGTTTTTATTACCAAGTGATGAGTGACACATTCTTGACGGTGAGATAGGAAGATGGGGGTGAGGTGAGGGGAAAGACTTGGGGTGCAGTGAGGGTCCAAGAGGGACATGTGCTCAGAGAGATGAGGGTGGACACTGCTAGGCAGTACTGCTTTAAGAATAACCCTAACGCTACAAGTGTCATTGTATAGGAATATAGTGAGGCTTACGAGGCACGACATGTGACACGTAGTGAAACCTTGGTGAAATCTCAAGCTCCCTACTGACTTCAGGAGGCATGTTGTTGTTATATAAACAACCTGTGGACCATTTTGCCCTACAGTGTCCAGGGAAGAGGGGGATAGAAAAGAAAGAGGAGCCAGACATCTGTGTGTGGGTGCCCTGGCCCGCTGACCATGTGGACGGGCACTGGGCAGACCGTGGGGCAGAGACAGGCTTGCTATGTATATGAGCCTCAGGTCTGTCCACTCTGCCTAACACCCTGTAACCATGGGACTGAGGGGCCACCTGAAGCCTCTGGATGTAGCTCTGCTCTGGAGCCACACACCAGTTTTAAGCCCCAAAATGGCTGATTTTGGGTATGAGTGATGGTCTCCCTGCACGGAGGGGCAGAAGTTGAGCAAAGAATTCTTCCGCTACGCGTTACGGACCTGGCAGGGTCCTTCTCCTCTTCTACTCACGGAGGACGCGTCCCAGCCCTGAGCCTCCCGCTCAGTCACCCTCACTGGCTCTCACCCTCTCCTCACTGCCTTCCCACCCAGATGTCCCACCCCTCACGGGGCCTATACTCCCTCAGCATCCCTGACGTTGAGTTCTCCCTCCCCTACTGAGACCTTTCCCCTATCACGTTCTGGGCCGCGCCTCGGTTCTGTCCCCCTGAAGCCCCCAGTCCTTCCCTGACCCCTCCAGAAGCTGGACCCCCCTTTCTGTCCTTTCTCACGGCCCCATTCCCCACCTGGAGCTTTCACTCCCTCCTGCACTGACCATCTGTAGAGTCCTTCTCTCATTCCTTGGGCCATTTCACTAATGTCCATGAGGAAGCTACAGAGCCTGGCTCTGGGTCATAGAAATGAATCTTGAGAAGTGTCTGGAGGAGGTGAATGGGGAACAATTTCAATCTAGTGTCTTGATGCTACCACGGGATGACGGGGGTTGGGGGAGATGGGAGGGCCCAGAGCCAGTACCTCCTGAGCTGTGTTTTTAGAGGTTGGTAGGTGATCTGTGGCAATGGAGCGGGATACCAGCACGTCCACAGGTATGGAGTTGGGAGGAAGAACGGACTGTTTGCTCAGGTAGTGGGGGGCAGGAGTTGTAGATGGAGAAATGGTTTCAAAGAGGAGTTCGGGGGACCCCTAGAGTTTCAGCTGGGGCAGCTGTGCTCATACCGATTTCATACATGGAGGCTCTTTTCTATTAAAATGAAGGGTTGTGCTGCTAAAACAAACAGCCCAACACCCCTCAGATGCAGCATGGACAGCTGCCTGGGGCCGAGGGGGAGTCTTGGGCTGACGATGCCACAGAGGTGCGCGGAGGTCAGGTGGTGGAGCATGTTGTACTGGCCAGACTGAGGGTCTGCGCTTGACCTGACCTGAGCCATGGGTAACGAGAAGCCACGGAGAGGCTTTAATCAGAGGAGCGGCAGGTCCAGCTGCAGGACAGGGAGAGGGGAGGTGGCTTGAGGTGGGAGGCAAATAGGTCAGTTCAAAATTTATTTGAGCCCAGGTGAGAAAAAGTGAAGGTCTGAACTCCCAGTTGAGTTAAAGAATGCTAGATCTCCCCAGGGAGGTACGCTGGATGGCCTTGGGCACCAGGGATAGATACATCTCCTGGGAGAGTGTGAGGCCTGAGAAGGGCCCTTGCCTGTCCCCTCGCTGAAGCCCTATTCCCTGTCACCCCCTCCCCCCACCTCTGCCAACTTAACTCAGGTCTCTTACTGAACCAATTTCCAGGGTCATTCCTCCTCTGGGTCACGGTGAGTTCCTCTCCACCCCTCACTGACCTTCATCCAGCTCAGCCGAGCCCCATTCCTATCTGGTCCCTCTCCCCACACTCTATCAAATACTCAGTGAGCTCCGTGCATGTACTCGCCTCCCCGAGCCTCTGTCTCACTCACCACATCCTCAGCCCTACGTTCTGGGGGGACCCTCATTCTTTCACGGGGCTCTCATTCATCAATAAGACATGTTCTGCCCTCCAAAGCTCTTTCTAGTGGGGAAATAAAAAGACATTTAGAAGATAATAACAACACGCGGTGATGTCTACTATGATGGATACAAGTACTCGGGACATGGGAACATAGAGAAATACTCCATCCAGATTTTTCAAGGAGGAGAGATCAGGAGAGACTTCCTGGGGGAGGTGACTTTATTCTGAGGCTTGAAGGAGTTAGTCAGGCTCCGGAGGAGGCACAGAGTGTTCCAGGCAGAAAGACCACCTTGCACACAGGCAAGAAAGAAGTGTAAAGTAGTGTGATGTATGCAGAGAAACAAGAATAATTCCATATTGCTTAGGGATAGTGTTGAGAGATGAAGCAGGTGGGATCAACTCATGGAAGCTTTTTAGGAGAGGTGGAGGAGCTGAGTCTTGATTCTGCAGGCCTAGGGAGCTATTGAGGGATTCTAGGCAGGGGTGTGACAACCTCAGTTTTGGTTTTAGAAAGATGGTAATTGGGAGAAGACAAGCCATTCTTTAGGGATGAAAGGGTGCTGATTATATGGACATCAGCTTGAAGGGTTTTGGACGAGGATGAAGGAGGAGGAGAAGCAGCAGAGAAATGGAGGAGGGCACAGCCTTGCCTTCCTGGCTCAGGGAAACAGGCTACACTGAGTGCTTGGGAGCCGAGTGGGAAGCGGGGGGTGGGAAGGGCAGAGCTGTGTTTGGGGGGTGTTATGAAGAAGTTGGAAAGAAGGTGCCACCCCCTTGCTGAGCCCCCCTCCACTGAGCCCACCCAGCCTCTCTGGCCGGGCTGCAGCCCTGCACGGCTGCTCATCCGCATGCCCCTCCCACCCCATCACAGGCCTGGGCCTGGAGGGAGCCTGTCCCACTGACTCTGACCATGCCCTTCTGTGGGCCCTGTCCTTGCCAATAGAATAAAGCCCTATTTTCAATTCTGTGAACACTCTAGGACGGTCCGTGCCTCCGAACCTTTGCACAGGCCCTTCCTCCCGCCTGGCACACCCTCTTCACCTAACCGGCTGGGGCAGGGAGTGCCCTCCATTGCTCCTTCGTTCACCACAGCGCATAGCCAACCCTGTTTCCCACACTCCTGGGTGGGTTTTTGTTGCTTCACCTCCACATTCCGAGCTCCTAGCAGCTCTGGGCATGTGTTAGGTGTGCAATAAACGTCTGCAGAATGAATGAACCTTGGCTTTTCCCTTGGCATCATTATGCAACACCCCCCAACACACACACACACACACACACACACACACACACACACACACACACAGAGCCCCCCATCCCCTGGCTCTCCAGCCCATCCCTGTCTACTCTTTTGCCTGGCTAAGCTGAGGACACCTTTTGGTTCCTACCCCCTTGATAAGCATCCCTTTCCTCCTTGAACTGACCCCTGCCCATCACTGAGCCCCTCTCCACCTTGCTGAGCCCCAAAACCTCATGGAGCTTAACTCCCTAGTCCCTTGTCCCTGACCCTGACCTTACGCCTCAAGGCCAGTTTTTCCACCTGAGCTCTATAACTTGACCCTCGCGTGTCCTTGGGCCTTTAGCCTGCCTCTGAGTCTTGTGATCAGAGTCCCCCTCCCAGCTGGTCTCTCCCCTCTCTCGCTCCCTATGTTCTCTGACTCTATTGGCCCCTCTCTTCGCTTTACCTCCACCTCCATTCCTTCTGCTCACTCTTCAGCCCACTGTGGTTTGGCTCTGATCCCGACCGCTCCACCGAAACTGCCCTTCTCAAGGCCACCTCCTAATGCAAGCCTCCTTAGATTCTCCTGAGAGCTCGCCGACCATGGTCTCCTCCCAGCCCTGGTCCCTGTGATCTCTCCCTTTTCAACTTGGCTCCTAGCCCCACTCTCTCTCAGTCTCCTCTCGCCTCTCCAATGGTTCCTACTCAGCTTGTCCCTCTTCCTCTGCTCGTCTGCTGACTGTGAGTGTTGCCCAGGCCTCGCCGCCTTTGGCCGCCTTTACCAGCTGCACAGCCCCTACCCCGGGATGCCTTCCACTCCCATGCTTTACCCCCAGTGACGGCTCCCAGGATGGATTCTGAGTTCTCTCCCTCCTCCGCAGCCAGCTTCTTGAAATAAGATGGCTCTCCTTCCTCCCCTTCTTTTTACTCTTCAACCTCCGCCCCCTGCTCTCCATCCCCCACCTGAGGCATCAACAACCTGTTTGTTGCTAATCTTTACATGACACCCCAGCAGCATTTGGCATGTGAAGCCTCACTCCTCTGTGGAGTGTACTCTTCTCTTGGCTTCCATGATGCAATATGCTTTTGAGCATCCCCTACCTGCCTGTTTGCTCCTATTTGGCCTCGAAGCTGGCCCTTATTTTCTGTCTTTCTCTTAAATGTCTAATGCCTCCTCTCACTCTCTGTACCCACTCTCCTTGCTATCCCATGGGCCTCTGTGCCTTTGATGACTATTTACATGTTAAGGACTCCATGTCTCCATCTCCAGCTAAAGTGTTTCTCTTGAGTTCCAGACCCACAGGTTCAGCTGCCTCTGGGTTTCCCACAAGAACCACAACCTCAACACATCTGAAACTCTGCTACTCATCATTTCCTTACCCAAACCTGCCCTTCCTCCTGTGGTCCCTCTGTTAGCGAAGAGCCAACAGCTACCCTGTCTCCCAAGCCCAACACCTCCACGTCATCCTTGGCTTGTGCTTTCCCTGACATCACCTAGTCTTGTTGATTCTACCACCTGAATATCTTACACGTGACTCCTCCCTTCCATCCTTTTGGTTCAGCTCCATGTCTTTGAACCTGGGAATCCCCCTGCCTTCAATTTTGCCTTCCTACAACCCACTCTCTACACGACACAATGGTTTTTCTAAATCAGAATCCACACCGTGTCTCCTATTTTGAAGCCCACAGTGATTCCTCATTGCCTTTCAGATCCCTACGTGTGCCACACTTTTTCTTGCCGTGTCATTGACAGACCTGAAGGAAAATACACTCAGAGGTTTATTGATGGTTGAATGGGAGGTAGGCAGGAGGATTCCAAGAAGGCCTTTTGCAAATCTGTTCTTCACTAAAGTCATAAGGAAAGAATAAATGAGCACGGGAACATAGCTGTAAAGGCTGCAAATAGGACATGTGAATGACTTCAGTTATTGAAACTAAGGCAAAAACCTAGAGGGAGCATTCACTTCAATAATGAATTAAGTAAAAACGTTGAGTAGTATAGGATTTAATATATTTGAGGTAGAAATGGTACCTAATATCTACAGTGATTTAATTAATTTCTAATATTGCTGAATAAAGGCCCAAAGGGGGAAAATAACACCAAGGGCTCTCTCAAGAGTCCAATAACAACATTTGGAGTATTTTTGCTCTCATAATAATGAAACCAACAAGAACAATATTAGCTTTTTCTAATTTATTGATTCATTAAATAACATTGACTCCATACAATTTAAAAATCAGCCTAGTCATACTTTCAGTCTCCAGGTCACCTTGTATTGTCCTACCGCTGGTGCCCTCTGCCTGGAAGACGTACTGGCTGTGAGGCCTTGTTCAAGGAATTTAGCTCCTTCCTTTCCTCATCAGTAAAAATGAGGACTCAAAAGAAAATGACCATACCTACTTCGTGGGTTGTAAGGGTTAAGTGAGTCAATACTTGCAAAGCCACAGAATTTAGTAACACGCTGCCATTATTATGATTATGATTTTGTTGTTATGGTTATCGTTGTGTTTGTTATTCTCCTCTTCCCTTCTGCTCACCTTCTTAAGTCTTACTCCTCTCCTCTTGTGAAATCAGGGCTCATCCCTGGAGCAGAGGCTGCTCCCCACAGCGCTCCCCAGGAGGCATCCTCCTGTCCCTTTCTCTGGGGTGGGAAAGGACGCACCCCAGTTGCAGGGTGACAGTCTGGGGATGGGCTCCAGGTCCAGCTGACTCTGAAGCCTGAGTTCTGGGTGCTTCAGGGTCTCCTGCCGTCTCCACTCTCCTTCCCCAGCTCTCTGTCTCTAGCCCATATCTACAGCTCCTCGCTGCCTGGCTCCTCCTGAGTGACTCATAACCGCTCTCCTTCCTTCTCAACTTGCTCCACTTCCCATAAGCCTCTTTTAGCGACTGGCCCTACCATTCACTGTACCTTAGGCCTGAATCCTGGGACTCCTCCCAGACTCCTCCTCCTCCTATTGGTCACTGGGCCTACTGATTGTATTCCCTAAGCATCTCTGAACCAGATTTTGTTTAAGACTCTCTCATCTTTCTCACCTGGGTGACCTGGCCAGCTTCTTTCCAAATGGTCCTTTAGTCTCTGGTCTTCACCCAGGCTGCCAATCAGGACAGGTCTTGCTTCTGCTTAAAACTTGCCAAGGGCTCTCTGTTGTCTGATAAGCTCTGAGAAAGGTCCGAAGAAAAACTCTGCAAAATGTTTGGGAAATGAAGCCCTCTCTTTCCCCTTCTCGCTGTAAAGAATCTTGTTTAGACTTGCTGGACCCAGGGGTTCTCAATCTTACCTGATATAGGGGCCCTGTGAACGTTTAGGGGAATCACATTCCAAGGAATACTCTTTGGGAAACACTGCCTGGCAGGATCAAGGGCAAGTTCCTTAAGCTCCTTAGCACGACATCAAAGGCCCTTCGAAATGGACTCCTTATCTTTCACCACTCCTCTCCCCGCCCCCCTGCCCCCTAGATTATCTGCTGTGCCCGTGAGTTCTTTTGTACCTCTGCAGTCGTGCTCATAGAGAGCTCTTGTGCCTGCTTTCTCATGGACAAATCTGCTCATTCTTCAAGAGTGGGCCCGAATGGCACCTCCTTTGTGACTTCTTCCCTCTCTTCTTTTTGGGTCCACTATTGCTTGGTTTTGTGGTGTCAGCGTGTGTGGCTGTCAGCATTTGCCTGTTTGCGGGCCTGCCTGTGCCGCTAAGAAATCACTGCAGGCTAGGTGCCTCTGCCTCCCTGTCCCCAGCACTCACACTGCACCTGGTACCTGGGAAGGGCTTGGTGAGTGCTGGATGAACAGAGTGGACGAGGAAACAAGATCAAAAGGTCTGCTGTGGGCTGGCAATCGCGCTGCCTCAAAGGATGGCTCTAAGCCAGGGTTGCTTGACCTCAGCACCACTGACATTTTGAACCAGATAATTTGTTGTAAGGGCTGCCCCATGCACTGTAAGCTGTTTAGTGGGAGCTCTGGTCCCTCTTCCGTAGATGTCAGTAGCAACCCTCTTCTCCAGTGTAATAGTAAAAATTGTCTCTAAACATTGCCAAATGTCCCCTGGGGAGCAACATCGCCTCTGGCTGAAACCACTGTCCTAGACATAGATTATTCCAGTTGTCCTCTTGTCTCCAGCCAGGTGCTATTTTTCTCCTATTGTTTAACCCGTTATCCTTTTTGTCCTTAAAACTTTCTCAAGGATAAAAAACCCTCCTTCCTCTGGAGAGGGTCGGGGTAAGATCCAGGAAGGGTGTGGCTTCAGTAGCTTCTCTGGGGAAGGCAAAGCGAGCCTGCAGGGTGAGCTTGTGTCGTGCCTGGAGCTATGGAGGCATTTCTTGTGGATGTGAGCTCTTGCTCTAGGCATCTGTGCTAGTTCTCTTAAGAGAGGGTCCTAGGGAGGTTTATAAAGCAGGGGCCTGCCAGCCTGGCCTGTGCTTTCTAAGAAGCACTCTCATTCTGCGGGAGAAGAGTCCTATCTACTCCCTCCCCCTCCACGTGGGAGCCCAGGAAAGCCTGAGGTCTCTCCCATGGCCACCTTCTTACCCTTGTTCCATCCTTGCAGTCAGCGCTGAAGGGAGCCAGGCCTGTGCCAAAGGCTGTGAGCTCTGCTCTGAGGTCAACGGCTGCCTCAAGTGCTCGCCCAAGCTGTTCATCCTGCTGGAGAGGAACGACATCCGCCAGGTGGGCGTCTGCTTGCCGTCCTGCCCTCCCGGATACTTCGATGCCCGCAACCCTGACATGAACAAGTGCATCAGTGAGTGCGGGCAGGGCTGGAGAAGGGCTCCAGAGACTCTGGACGCTGGGGGGAGGGTGCTTTGAACTGTTGGTGGCCAGCGAAAGGTGGAAGAGGGGACTCCAAGAAGGGGAGATGAGGCTTCTGATTCCAGAATCCGGTTGCTGGCCAGGCATCTCCCCCAATATCCCATCCGCATTTCCAGCTCAGTATGTCTGTATCAGAACTGCATCTTCTCCCTCCAGACTTGCGCCCACCTATATTCCCACAGGTCAGTCTGTGTCTCAAGTCACCACCCAAGCCTCAGACCTGAGAGCCAACCTCTCATGGGTGCCACCCCTGTCCATTCAACAACCGACTCAGGCCTGCGCCTTCTCCTTTCTGTCCTCACTGCCCTTGCCGTACCCAGGCTCCCCTCTTCTCTCTCCTGGACGATTGCAACAGTCTGTTGATCTGTCCTCCAACCATCATCTGGGCCCCTTCGACCTGCCCTCCTTCCCGCAGCCAGGAAGATGCTTCTGAGACACACAACCTTTCGCATCACACTTCTGCTGAAAAGCCACCACTGGCTGTACTGACTGCAGAGAAATCCAGGCCCCGGCCGGCCTGCCCATCCCCTCCTCCTCCCCCTGGTCTTCTCACTCAGCTCCTTTCTCCCACACCAGCTCTGGTTCCAAGAGCTTCAAGGCACATGCTGTCATGCCTCAATCCCATCTCAGCTGTGAGATGCTGGGGGACACACGGTGAACACACTCCAGCGAACAAAGCCAATACTCCCTCCCATTTATTCAGTGCCTTGGAGTTTAGAATGCGTTTCCAGCTCTCCTATCAGAAGGGAGACGGGCCCTCACAGCGGGGCTGGAAGGGATATGACTGACCCCAACTCAGCCGACCCGGGTTGTGCTCTCAACTCTGCTACTTGTTCATTGTGTGACTTCGGGCGTGTCGTAACTTTTCAAAGCCTCATCTTTAAAATGGGAGTACCAGTTTTTACCCCCGGGGTTTGTGTGGGAGGCATATGTAAAGCCCTTCGTGTTTGGCACTCAATAAATGGCAGCTTCTATTGTTCTTACTGTATGCTACCTGCAACCAAACCCAGGAATCAGAACATGAGAGAAGGACGGAGGGAGGCAAAGCTGAGATAAAGCCACAGAGGCCAGGGGGAGCGGGGCTCTTGTGAGGTTGGAGGTAGGACCCTGGGGCTGCCCTCTTGGTCCTCAGGCTATTTGGGGCAGGGAGTTCCTGGCTGTGCCAGCTCCCGGGAAACTGGCAGCCCAGGCTCCAGGTGCCAGAGGCAGGGAGGAAGTTAGCCCCGCCCACAGTCTGGGAAGGGAGAGATTGTGAAAGACCCTGCTTGCTTCTCCAGCCCTGAACCCACCCTCCCCCACTTCCCCAGAGGGGGGAGAGCTGGCAGGAGGGCATGGGGAGGGACCCAGGAGTCCAAGCGAGGCAGTTCCTGGAACTCGCCTTGCGGAGGGAGAGGAATTTGCCCTGGGATTCCTTCCCCCTCCTCCAAGCTGATTCTTTCTGCCCCAGGCAGGAGGAGATCCAGGGTTTGGGTCTCATGGATGCCCAGCAGTGGGGGAAGAGGAGACCATGCAGCTGTGGTCGAGGACCACTGTATCCCTCAGTTCAGCTCTGACTAGGTGGCCCTCTGGGCGACCCTCCTCTCTCACCCCCACCAATCCCAGAGGGCCCTGCTCTCGTCCTCTGAAACTGACTTTCTTGGGCCTCACCTCAGGTTCCAGGGCCTGGGATTGGGTTTGGGTTGGGATTGGCTGATCCTGGTGAGTCCCAGACAGCCCTGAAGAGTGGCCACTTGGGCCTTCTCTCCCCGCCCCATCTTGCCCCAAGACTCCTCTCTGCAGTAGTCATAGCTCCAGACCACCATCCTGCCCTCGGTGTGGTGGGCATTGGAATGGGGTTAAGGGGAGGCATCTGGTTCCAGGCTAAGCCAGAGGCCCCCACTCTGGTCCTCTCCTCAGAATGCAAGATTGAGCACTGCGAGGCCTGTTTCAGCCACAACTTCTGCACCAAGTGTAAAGAGACTTTGTACCTGCACAAGGGCCGCTGCTACCCGACCTGTCCCGAGGGCTCTGCAGCGACCAACGGCACCATGGAGTGCAGCAGTCCTGGTAAGTCCCGTGGGTGCTGTGCACAGCAGGGCAGGCCAGGGAGAGTGTGGGCTTGGGCACGGTCCTGAGGCACCCTGCCCCACCACCGCCCTCTGGGGCTTCGCTCAGGGCTTGTCTGCCCTCTGGGCCTGAGCCCCAGGTAGAGAGCAGGTGGGAGGAGCTCCCCGGGGGTATTCTGGGCCAGGAGAGGAGATGTGATCCTCCCCTCCTCTTTCCCTTCCTTCCTGCCAGCTCAATGCGAAATGACTGAGTGGTCCCCGTGGGGGCCGTGCTCCAAGAAGAAGAAGCTCTGTGGTTTCCGGAGGGGCTCTGAGGAGCGGACGCGAAGGGTGCTCCATGCCCCTGGGGGGGACCACGCCACCTGTTCCAACACCAAAGAGATCCGGAGGTGCACAGTGCAGAGGACGCCCTGTCCTGAGGGTGAGCTGCGGCCTCTGCTTCCCTGGGGTCGGGGTCAGGCACAGCCACAAGAGAGCTGATCACCTCTGCTTCCTGCCTATGGCCCAGGAGAGGGTGTGAGGCCAGGGCCAGAGGGGGTATCCTCAACTCAAGACCCTGTACTGTGCAAACCAGTGCCGGGTCCCGGTGGAGACCCACAGCTCTGTGTGGTGGGAGCTGGAAACTCCTGGGTCCCTATCCTTTCAGCTTGTCCATTTCTTCGGAGCCAGCGGATGTTGGCACTGGAAGAGCCCTCAGAGGTCAGATGAGGGCATGGGAGGTGGTGCGAAGACCAGAGAGGTGTAGTGATTTGACCAAGGTCACTCAACCTGCCGCTGGCAATGATGTGGCAGCTGGCTGCAGAGGGCCATCCTGCCTGCCCTAAAAACTGAACTAAATGTCTTGGCCCATTGGGATCCCAGGTCCGAGGAAGACATGAGGAAAAGGAGGGTGCGTAGTTCATTCAGCCGTAGAGGCTGAAAGGGCTCCTGGGCGCCGCCCCTCATGTTGCAGGGTCCTCTGAAGTGGGTGATGGTCAGAGGAGGCTTTAGGGCACCCCGGCTACCTAAGGGCAGCTTTTCCAGCCTCCTGCTAGCCTCCCCCTGCCCAGCTTCCTCACCACTCCCCTCCCAGCCCATGGCTATGCCTGGGGCTTCCCTGCATGTGGCAGGACATCCTGTGTTCGATCTTCCTGCTGTTGGGTTGCAGGGCAGAAGAGGAGGAAGGGAGGCCAGGGCCGGCGGGAGAAGGCCAACAGGAACGCCAGCAGGAAGGAGAGCAAGGAGGCGGGCACCGGCTCCCGGAGACGCAAGGGCCAGCAGCAGCAGCAGCCACAAGGGACAACGGGGCCGCTCACATCTGCAGGGCCCACCTAGGGACACTCTTCAGCCTCCAGGCCCATGCAGAAAGAGCGATGGAAGCCTTATTGAACTGGAGCCCAGGGTCAACATGTACACGCACTCGGGACACGTACATGGATACACAGACATACACACAGACCCCACGTCCAAACATGCAATTGATATATGCTTGAGGCCACCAGAAGACACTTCTGTCCCTCAGATGTCACGATGTGAATAGGGTGGGGAGGCGGCGGGGTCATCTCTGCCCAGAAGAGGGCCAACGACACACACTTGGTTTGTGATGCCCCTCGTGGATGTGGCTGAGAGGACATTTCCAAGCGTCCAGGCCCACACTTTTCAGAGTGGAACCTTCGGGAGGAGTCGGTAGGACGAGCCCAATCGGGCAGGCAGGACTCAAAGCGTGAGGCCCGTCCCTCATTTCCAGCTGTGTGACTCGATTACCGTTCCACATCCATGACCCGTGTCAGGACTGCCTGAACTCTGAAAACTGCTAAAGATTTATTTCAGATTAAAAACAAAAGGTAAATGACAACAAGAGCCCCAGGCACCACATTCTTTTTCAGGGTACAGGATTGGTGGGGTAGGCATGGGAGTCGGAAGGGACAGGGCTATATTTTAAGAGACCCCCTAATGGCCTCCTGGACAGAGCAGGAAGAAAACTTTGGGGATACTCATGGTGGAGCAACTTCTCTATGTCCTTGTTACCCAGAGTGTGGTCTGTGGGTCACCGCTGATGTCATCACTGGGCAGCTTGCTAGAGATGAGAACCTTGGGTCCCATCTCAGACCTGATGAACCAGAGTCTGCATTTTAAAAAGGTTCCGGGTGATGAGTACGCGCAGTCAAATTTGAGAAGCACCGCTCTAATTACCCCTAAGGGATCCTGGTCAGCTATAGAGGACTTCCTGCCTGGGAGAGGTAGAATCTCTAGGCCAAGGGCTGCAGTGGCACTCCTAGGGGAAGGGAGTGCTCAGGCTCTCTGAGATGGTTGGGGACAGCGGACCCGAAGGCAGAACAGTAGACATCTCAGGGCATTTGGAATGTCCATTGGCAGCTGTCCATGCACCAAGCTCTGGACTAAGTGTTTGGTTTCAGGAGGGGAACCAGACGTGGGCCTTGGTCTCATGGAGCTTAGTTGGGGGTGATAGGCAAGAATCAAGTAGTCATCCAAATATATGTGTAATTCCAACTGGGTGGAGTTAAAGGCAGGCAACCACTAGCACATACGCATGGCAGTGAAAGTGAATAAATGTAGAAGACTTTATCTCAGGGAAGCTTTTCAGAGCAGGTGATATTTGAGCCAAGCTCAGGACAAGTAGGAATTAAGACAAAGAGAAGGAACAGTGCTCTAGACCAATGCTGTCTGGTAGTAATATAATATGAACCAATCATATAATTAAAATTTTTCTAGCAGCCACATTTAAAGAGTAAAAAGAAACTGGTGAAATTTATTTTGATTATATCTTCTATTCAACTAAATAGATACAAAATGTTATCTTTTTAACATGTAATCAATATAAAAAGTTGGTAATGAGATCTTTTACATTTTTTTAAAACTAAATATTTGACATGTAAAGTATTTTTATAGCATATCTTATTGTAGACACTGAATTTTCACCAGAAAGAGTAGAGCTGTATTTACACTTGATCTTAGCCCAAAGGCCAAGAAGAGGTAGTTGAGCTACATTTAGATTTTGTAAAAATTAAAGTTGAAAAGTGGATTTACACACTCAAATTATTTTAAGAATAGTTAAGCTTGCCAATATTGAATGTTTTTAAATTTTAAATTTAATTAATTAAAATTAAATAACATTAACAATTCAGTTTTCCAGTTGTACTAGCTGTGCTTCAGGTGCTCACTGGGACACATGTGGCTCGTGGCTACTGTGTTGGCAGCATAGTTCTATATAGAGGATGTAGCTCATGCAAATGTCCTGTGGTGGACTGGAACTTGTTTGAGGACCTGAAAGAAGGCCAATATAGCTAGAAGGCCTAGAGGGCAAGTGAGGTGAGATAATGCCAGAAAGGTCACCTGGAGTTGGGTCTTTATTCTCAGAGCCAGGGGAAGCTGCTGAAAGGTTTTTATGTTGCAGGTCAACCCAGCAATATCTATATTTTGCCAAGACCATGTTGGCTGTAGACAGGAGGGCAGCTGCTTAGGAAGCGTTGCTGTCACCAGATGAGGAGTGTTGAAGGTTTGGACTAGGGTGTGGCAGCAGAACTGGAGAGCAGTAGACAAAGTCAAAGGTATTTGGGGGATAAAGTTGGCAGAGTTTGGTGATAAACTGGATATGGAATAAGGGAAAGAGGGAGAAGGAAGTGTCAAAGACAAAGCCCCCATGTCTGGCCCGAACACCCAGGCCGATGATGGTGCTGTGCTCTACAGTGGGGAACCCTCAGAAGGGCAGATTGGGAGGAGAAGGGAGAACATACCCCTGATTTTGGCCAGGTCAAGTTTGAAGAGCCTCTGAGACAGCCTGGTGAAGATGGTGAGTCCCCATTCTGCACATACAGTACAGGTCTGGAGCGCACAGGGGACGTCTGAGCTGGAGTATAAACGTGGGTAGAGAAGGTCACCGAGACTGTGGGTCTGGAAGAGGTTGACTAAAGAGAGTACTGGGTGACCAGAGGGCTCAGGACTCAGGTCTGCAGCCCTTCAAGCATGAAGATGAGATAGTGGAGGATCAGTTGGCAAAGGAGTTAGAGATGGAAGAGGCAAGAGGGAAACCAGGGCAATGTCGTGTCCCTGAAGCCAGCAAGCAGGAAGGGAGATGGAGAGGCTCAAAGGCTGCTGAGACACCAAGTAAATGAGGACTGGAAATTGACCACTGGACTTACAATATGTGTGCCAGTAGTGACCTTAGCAAGAGCCCTTTGGGGAAAGTGATAGAGATAGCAATCAGTACAGACAATTTCTCCAGAAGTTCAGCTGAGAAAAGGAGAGAAATAAGGTAGGGGCTAGAAAGAGATATGGGGTCAAGAGAGTGTCCTTTCTTTTTCCTGTTTTATTTTTTTTAGGTGGGAAAGACTTAAAAATGTTTAAAACCTGCTGGGAAGTGTCCAGTTAAGCGAAAGGGAATGAATACACAGGAGAGACAAGGGGGAAGTCAGCAGTGGAGGGCGCCGGGGGAGGGACGGTTGTACAGGAGCGAGGAGAGGGCGGTATAGGGCTGGGAAGGCTGAGGGGTTTGGAAGGTGGGACATCTCGGGCCTGTGCACCTGACTCTCTGTGGGGCTCATCCCGCCCACAACCGTGAGCCTCTTCACTGCTGGTGGGGGGCCTGGGTGGTCAGGAGCTGCCCAGGGCCATCTCTGGTCTCTCCCCCAGCTCCTCGCCTTGCCTCCTTTCCCTGACCGTGACTCTGTCCTTGCCAATCTCTCTGGCCCTATCAGTCTTCCATCTCTGGTTTTGTTCTCTCTGCCCCTGTCCCCCTCTGTGTCTCTGACTCTGTCCCCTTCTCTGTCTCTCTTTTCATCACCCGGTCTTTCCCTGTTCCCACCTAGGCCTCTGATTCTATGTGTGTGTGTGCCATTGTTTCTCTGTTTTTCTGTCTCTCTCTCTTTTTTTAAAAAGATTTTATTTATTTATTTTCAGAGAGATGGGAATGGGGGAGAGAGAGAGAGGGAGAGAAACATCAATTGGCTGCCTCTCACATGCTCCCAACCATAGTCGTGGTGCATAACCTAGGCATGTGCCCTGACTGGGAATCAAACCAGCAACTTTTCGGTTCGCAGGCCAGCACTCAACCCACTGAGCCACACCAGCCAGAGCAATTTCTGCCTCTCTTCATGGTATCAATCATCAATTCCTGTGCATCTTGGCTGTCTTTGGCTCTGATTTGTCCCAATCTCCCATATCCTTAGGTCCTCCATACTCAGAGCGTGGCCTTGGATCAGCACCCTCGGTCTCATCTGGAAGCTTGTTAAAAATGCAGAACCTCAGGCCCCTCCCAGACCTAGAGAATCTGAATCTGCCTCATAAGAGATGATCCTCACCGTAATTCAGGCACATGTTAAACATTTGTGAAGCATTGCCTTAAGCTTTCCTCTTAAACAACTTCAAGCGCTGGCTGGTGTGGCTCAGTGGATTGAGGGCTGGCCTGTGGACTGAAAGGTCGCCGGTTTAATTCCCAGTCAGGGTACACGCCTGGGGTGCAGGCCAGGCCTTCAGTTGGGGACCTACGAGGGGCAGCCTTTCCCTTTCACATGTTTCTCTTCCTCTTTTTCTCCCTCCTTTCCCCTCTCTTTAAAAATAAATAAAATCTTAAAAAAAGGAAACAACATCCAAACAAAAATCCAGAGTTTTAGCAACATGGATGACCTGGATCCTCCTCTATCTCCTGCGTCACCATGGTGATGCTCTGAGGCATCCGGCTTCTCTCTATCTCCTCCTTGAGCCTTCTAAAACTGTTCCGGAAGCTCTAACCAGCTTAGGGAGGGAACATAGTAGGCTTCCACATCTGCGGAAGTACTGGTGGGAAGGAATTCTCCTGATCCTGATAATGCTCCTAGGTGCAATCCCCATGTATCCCTGAAAATGTTAACCCCACCTGGACCTACTCCTGTCTGTCTCATTCTGCCCTTTTAAAAGTAAGACCGTTTTTCTCTGGCTGGGGTGGCTCAGTGGATTTAGAACCAGCCTCCAAACTAGAAGGTTGCAGGTTTGACTCCCAGGCAGGGCACGCAACTGGGTTGTGGACCAGGTCCCCAGGCAATGAATGGATGTTTCTCTCCCTCTCTTTCGCCCTCCCTTCCCTTCTAAAAATAAATAAAATCTTTTTTTCTTAAAAAAGTAGGAATTTTTTTGAGCAGGAGTTGGGGTGTGGGTTTCCAGATGGGGGACAGTTAGCTACTCACAGCCCTAGAAGCAGCCCACCTGAGGCCAGAGACCATAGGACTGATCAGAAGTCACATGTGATTTTCAGAGTGGAGTGCTAGAGAGAGGGAATCATGTCAAGCTTTCTGTCCTCCATGGCAGGGTACTCAGTTGGTTTGAGGGCCAAGGTTGCAGGT